TAATCCCTTTATTGCTCCCTATTCTGAATTTTCACCCATTTGAATATAGAAGCAATTGTGCTGATTATAATTAGACTGTACAAAGAAGACACTGAATTGCCATTGGTATGATGAATCAGATAGGAATTGACAGGTTGAGAGTCTTTAGGCCCCCTTTGACATTATGACATATACATATTATAGGTATCTGCTTCTAATAAAGAAAATGGGAAGCCTCAATATAACAATTGTTCAATAAACTGCAGCTATAATCAAACTGAAACAGAATAAAATAAGCCTCCAACTTGTATGTAAAGGTACATAAAAAACAAACATTAAAATAAACAAAATATAAATCTTTGAAATACAATTTATTCTTTTGGATCAACGTCTCTCTTTTTTCAAAAGGTTTACCAAAATTTTTTTTTGTTTCAATCAAGTAGTAGTTTAACGAGAGAGAGAGATAGAGAGAGAGACAGAGAGAGAGAGCGAGCGAGCAAGAGAGAGAGAGAGAGAGAGAGAGCAATGTATTTTTTTTAAAAATAAATATATATGAGCTGCATTACTAGTCAAATATTTACAGTCTTGAAAAAGTTCTGTCATGATCAGTACAATGTAGTACAGTAAATTATTTGATATGTTGACAACCTGAGATCTGTGTTCCCATAGGTAATCTACTATTTTTTCAATGGTAAAACTGCATGGATATATATCATAATCTTGGTAATTTATTTTGATGCATTTCACAGTCCCAAGAGCATATGCTGACATCAGGACATTTTTCTGCTCTACTAAATCTGCTTCCACTTTACCAAGATAAAAATGTATTCTAAATGGTAGAAAACAAAAGGTCCATGGACCACAATGCTCACATGAGTAAATATGGCCTTTTTTGTACAATACAATACACAATAATACAAAACTAAACAATACAAAACAGAAAATGAGCAAACAGACCTCCAAACCATAAGAGGTAGGATCAGGTGCCATGGAGGAGTGATCATCCCCTGCCAACCAGTCGCACCCATTGTGTTTTCCTTGTCATGCTCAGGAAATAATGGAAAAATCTGTCGACAATACAGTGTTTAAATAATGGCCTAACAATTAATGTGAAAAATGTCAGTCAGCGTTTGACTCAATGATAAATTGTATTTGCTGAAAAGGTAATTGTAGTGACCTAATAGAACTTACGAAATGATGCCACTTTAAATGAGACTGCTGATATTTTTTGTTTCATAAACTTGTTTATCAATAATTTACCTCCTTTTAGAAATTGCGCATACCATAAATCTGGAAATTTTAATCTTTGAATCCTTAAACTTGAATCCCCTTTACTTTACTTTGTGGCAAGTTTGGTTAACCCAGTGGTTCTTTAGATGAAAATGTGAAAAGTTTACAATGACAACAATGCCAACAAAACAACAACAATGACAGACAACCGACAAATTTTGATCAGAAAAGCTCACTTGAGCCTTTGGCTCAGGTGAGCTAAAAACTTAAATCATAGCGTGATACACTGTTAATATGTGACCTTGGTCATTATCATGACTACACTTATGAACATCTATATCACATTGTATGCTTTGATTTTTTTTTTTTAAATTATGCCTTCTAAATAAAATTTAATGAACAATAAATACAAGTTCTATTCCCCCAAGCTCCAAGTCCAATATTGCTAGTAACATGACATATACACTTCTCTTAAAATTCGTGCCAAGTTCTTAGTGAGGACACCTGAATGTGTAATATGGCAACTGTATATTCCAACACAAATCCTTATCTGTAGACCTTTAAGAAAGTTTCACATAATTAAAGAAAAAAATTAAGTAAATTAAAATATTGGAATGCATGACAAAGCATGTTTTCACAGAATTCACAATTTATTTTTGTAATAATGAGTGTTATTCAGTTGTCACCTGTGGCTTTACTATCAATTTGGACACCGTAGACAGAAAGTCCCATGGAGCAATGTATTTAACAGACAAGTAAAAAATCACAACTCCAAGTATTGTTCACTCAGCAAGATTATTGAACAGACAGCTCATGATTTCACCAGGAAGCAATTTCCAACTTAGAGCATTCATCTGATATATAGGCAGCAAATAACTAAGGAGTTGCATTGTAAGTATGAAAAGTCCTATTCTACTGTTTCAACTTCATATTTGCAGTTTATTTCATTGGCTATAACTATAATTATACATGTATACAATTGTATATTTGTATATCTGCCATGATACCAGAGGTGTATTTTGAAGTAAAGAGGTATACACATAGAGAATCTACTTTTTTCGATATGAACTTAAATATATTTTTTCTTCGAATGGTTCAAAAGGCTCTAAAAACTACATTATCATTCAATTTTGAATGCTGGAAAGTGCTATTTGAAACGTATATTATACAATTATTTAATGCCTGAGCAGTCAATAGACCAGAATATTTTTCCCGAGGTGCAGGGAACAGCTCAGTGTGTTCTATTGCCCGAGGCAATTGTATATTCAGTACAGAAGGTTCCCGTACCGTGTTGTAAATTTATACCTAGATATGGTGCATCTGATATATTAATTAAGATTGATTGTATAGACTAATTGTTTCCATTCCTCTCGAAAATTTTTCACTCATATGGAGACGCCACTACTTGCCGGTGGAGAGATGATTGTTTACCATGTCTGTGCAGTGTTAAAAAAACTAAATTTGAAACCCGGATCGTTTTTTTTCCGAAATACGTTGCCGGTCAATAGAAAGTGCAGTCTATTGACCAGTCAATAGATCGCCAGTCAATAGATCGGTTTGAAAAGATAAGAAAAAGTGAAAACACATACAGAATAGATGAAAATATTAAATTTATAATAAAACAACAAAATTCATTTGATTAGGTAATAAAACCAATTCATACATTTGAAACTTTTATCAATGAATTAAGTAGTTTTTTCATTTTACCAGATTGTTCCTTTAATACCTGCAGTGAAATAAGTGCAACTTAGATTTTAATCTATTTTGTTTGTCTTTTTCTAAAATCCTTTTTTTAAAAATTTTTTTTGATAATTTTTTTACATGTAGTTATTGAACTGAAATGTTTTACATTTTAATAGGAAATGTACTGTAAATGTATTTTATTTGGCAATTAAGTATGATATTTGGGGAAATTGATTTTTTAACAAGTTAGAATAGATTTGAATTAGTGCTTTCTAAATTTGCTATATAAGAATATATGTAAACAAGATATATATAGCAATGTACTTGATTTAATGGAGGATGCTTTCTATGAAAGGCATAAAATGAAATAGTCTTTTTAAAAAGTTCATAAAAGGTATGGTCCCCCATATATTTTGATCAGGCATATCACAAGATGTCTTCTAAAAATCATCAATGATTTTGTATCAATTCATTGGTTACTTCTAAAAGGTACTTGACATAAGTTAACCCTTTGCCAGTCACACTAGGGTTGCATCCTTAAATTCATCTTACAAAAATCCATGAAAAAAAAGCAACAAGAGTCCCACGGGCCTTATAGGTCACCTGAGTATCACATTACAACTTTCGAACAATTGAATTTGGTTCGTATTTTAAACCAGAGGCCATGAAATTCACAATTTTTGAAAGAGGCAACATTGCTTATCATAACTATATACTTAGCATGTTTACTCTAATTACTGAATACCCAGAGGTAGATCAGAGTAACAATGAGAAAATGCACTTCCACTTTATAACTCGTTATGCACCCTACCCCAAACGAACCCACTGTCCCTGGGGCCACTTATTTAAAAAAATTGGAAATTTTAGCATAAATTTTATTTCATCATAAATGGTTGATTAATACCAAAGAGAAGATTTCAAGGCATTAATAATTTATTTTCAGATTATGCCCCCCCCCCCCCCCCCCGATACCCCTGACTCAGGGGGCATGAAATTAACCATTTTGCTAGTAGATGCCTCTTTTTCATCATAAATATATATACTTGAATCACTGGCATAATACCCAGGAGCAAAAGATTTTCAGAGAATTTAGAAATTTAGCACCCAGGGGTGCGGAGACCATAAAATTCTCAATTTTTGTTTCCCTTCACCCATAGATGCTATATGCTAAAATTGGTTGAAAGTGGTTCAGTGGTCTCAGAAAAGAAGTTGAAAATGTTCAAATGTTAACACATGACGACGGACGAAAACGGATAGCAATAGGTCACCTGAGTGACTCCGGTGACCTAAAAATGCCATTAAGGTGGCACAGGAGAGCCTCCTACAACTGCTAAAAAAATTGGTAGGATATATCCAAGTGATGTGTTGGTGTCTTGCATGCACAAAGTATGTGCCTTGGCTCTGCATTCCGATATACTACAGCAGAAATGCAGTAGGTTCATTGTAACAGTGCAGTATGATTTCCCAACACCATAACAACCACTCCATTGAAAAGCTCAAGTGGAACGCATAATTGCAATATGAACCCAGTGGTATAGTCTGTAGCACTTGCACAGATCTAGAGACCTCAGTTATTCAAATGTCACTGAAAGGAAAGGCCTTGTGCATACAGGCAGTGCATTATGTGAGCTGAGACAGTGACAACTCCTTGCACATTCATCACATTTTCCAATACTTAATTTAAATTTCTCAATGTCTCTGCGTGTCCAGATTAGCAAAAATGTCTGAGCATTCAACTAAATAACTGAAATGTGAACCTTTATCTCAAGTTCAGTTTCCGTAGCAAGTTATACAATCTTTTTCTTCTCAGTGCCCTTGTATCACTTTAACAGTTATTGATGCTATTTAAATTGAGTACTTATCTGTTGGTGACCATTAAAAATAAAACTTGAGCATAAAAATAAAAAAGCATAAAATCTTTTAATTTTCTCTCTCCTACCTTCCAATATCCTGTTTTGACACATAAAAAATTGTTTACTTCTATTTGCCCGAAACTCTGTTTAACCTTTATTAAAAAAAAAACATTTACAAGACAATCTACACATGATTATGCTATCTGCCTCATCCAAAGTTCCAACCCACTGATACAATACAATCTAAACACCCACCTCCTCAAGCTATCACTGAGGTAGTTCAGCTGCTGTATCTCTGACTTCTCTTGTTTTTGAATGCGTTCATGGAGAAACTCTAACACATCATCAAGTTCTTCATCTGACAGATCACCAGGGGCAGTGAAGTGAAATGCTAAGTCTGAAAATTCCACCATGACACCTGTTCGTTGAGGACCTAGTAAAAATACATAAAATTTTGAAATGAACTCACCAGTAGAGCCTTATGATTAATGAAAATGTAAGCAAGAGAAAATATTGCATGCTTTGCAGTTGAATATGAGATTTATTTCAATCTTGTGGCAAAAATTGTGTTTTGTATTGTAACGACACCGAATAAGCGCACTGGTGTATGACAATTAGGTTAAACTTAATTCTTTTTCTTTCTCTACTTCCAAATTAAAGACGAAAATGAAATAAAGACAAGTCTTGTACAGTCAACAAATAAACGGTTTATTCTGAACACATATTTTATTTCTATAAAACAATAATTCCAAAGAAATAATAATTTCAAATAAATGCTTAAAACCTACGTATTTTGTACTTGTTCTTATATTGGGACTGGTAAATTTAACCAGTGCAGTAATTGAAAATACAATGGATAAAATATCCGTAAATTGACTCTAGTAATTTCAGACCGTTAGATCACGATAAAGAGCCTCAGCAGATAGCTGTAAATAAACCTACCTATTTATAACAAACCATGACCAACTCCATCCCAATATTATAAAGTCTTAATCCCGAAATAAATGTAATAAAACTAACAAACTAAAATAACACACCTTTCTACAACTCAAAAACAGTCAAAAATCTGTGTTGTCTGCTACAACTTGTCATTATATACGTAGTTAAATGACATCATGAAAAGCGACCAATGAAAAGCATCGCGTAAATTACATCTACCAATGAAAAATGTAACGGGATGCTCTAGTTCCCACATCAAATTCTCACACTTACGAGAAAATAATAAAAATAGAAATAACATTTATTTCTTAAGTCTACTTACTTCTAGTATCATTAAATGTCTATTCAAGAATTTACAATAAATTAACAATAAATTATAATCGAAAAATAGCGCTCGTTAAACTTTGTAAACAAATACCGCATTGCATTCTGGGAGTTGGCCATTACTAAAACAATCAACAACATGTGGTCCTAACAATAATGCAAAAATACGTCTTAACAGTGAATTACAGGTAATTATACATAAATGATGGTGATCTTTACTCAGTTGGCAAATTATTTAACACATCTTTTATACTTGTCACAACAAAACACGCATCATAAACAAACAGAGCAAATCAAACTTTCGGGGGCGATGTCAAAAGCGTAAATTACGTACAAGTACATACTTGTATAAGTATCAACAATAAATACAAACATAGCCCTATTCTTACAGTATTTTCACTTGTGCTTTGCACTTTTGAACTATAAAATCCTAAGTAAAGAAGGCTACACCTATGTTATCCAGAAGTGAAAGCAAGGTCTCCCACTTAAATACAGGTATACTGTGAGTGAGCTCACAAAATAATAAGTTAATCAAATGTTCTCAGGTCAAGGATATGACACACCTGAAATAACCTTGTGTCAAGGTCATGACAAAGTAACTTCCAGCTCATAAACAATCTTGGTACATGTACTAAAGTATGAGCTTCCAACCTTGCAATGATTCTCCATTAAAACATTTTATATCCACTTCTTTTGATGTGATTTTTTTTAGAGCTGCATTACTTTTCGTTCTCCAGTTTTATGTTTATCTGATCTGATAATCTTTTAAAGATATTAGAGATATTTACATATAATAACAAATGATATTTTAATTATTATAATAATAATAATTATGTATTTTAACATTGACCAAGTCAATTCTTTTATCTCAGGGATACAAACTGATTAAATTGAAAATTTTGTTTCAAATAGAGATAAGTTTATAAATGAATAATGAGATTTTTTTCTGAAATGTAAATTATGACATGTCCTAAAACCAGTACAAGGATTGATCAAAGTCATCATCTAATGCCAACCCTTGATGACGATTCTTTTGCCTCTTCCAAGAGTAATCCTATTTTATAGTAATCCAATGAAATCTTTGATCAAAGCTTTCTTCTTCCGTTTCACAAGACTTGACAATGATTTCATGTCATATCTCTTGTATATTATCACTTTTCTCTATGATTATAGTTAGGATTTATCCACTTTCATTTCCTAGTCTTTGTCCTTGTATTCTGGTAGAAATTCTTTGCTGTAATACTGTTTTATTAATGATACTTGCATGGACACTTCATAATATGTTTCTCAGCAGTGTAAATATAAACAAAGAGATACATGAAGCTGACATATTGCACTACAGGTCTCACATGATCTAATCGTCAAGGTTTGAAAACCACTCACTTTACATTTCCAGCTTTATCACTGTGTTTTGTAATGTTCTCCTCATGCAGTTGGTTTTGATGTATGCATATAGACTTTTCATACAACTAAAACATACATGTACTTTTTTCTAAAAAACATCAAAACTTTATAGTAGGTCACAATTTATTTAAAACTTTTTTTACATTATACAAGTATTGATTGTGGTTGAGGATAACACGATTATTTTAGCCCACAAGGGATGAAATAATGCCTTTATCTGCATTTTGATTAAAGACTAGTGCTAGTGTATCTTGCCACAATTTTCTATTGTGATGTTGTTGTTTTTTTAAGTCATGATAGTATCATTACGACATTATTAATCAAATTGATATTCAGAATCAAAATCAGTGAAAATATGGGGAAACTTTCTTTGTCTGACAATATGCACTATGGAAAAACAATCAAATTTTTCAAAGAAGCTAATATCAATTATGTTGACTATTCCTCTATATAGAGGGTTTTTTCATGCCCCCAAAATCAATGATTTGGCCAGTACATATATAGTTTTTGCCCGTTCCGTCCAACTGTCTGTCTGCAAAAACTTCTACCTTGTCCATAACTTTTGAGTGGGTGAGGCTATAAGGCTTTCATATTTCACATGTGTATTCCTTGTGATAAGACCTTTCTTTTGTTACCACCAAATTTGACCTTGTGACCTTGACCTTGGAGTTTGACCATTTTTACCAAAAATTTTCAAACTTGAATCAAAGCCATAACTTTTGAATGATTGGAGCTAGGTCTTTCATACTCACCATGTGTATTCATTGTGACAAGAAATTTCTTTGGGTATTAAAACATTTGACCTTTTGACCTTGCCCTTAGAGTTTGACCCACTTTTAAAATACTTTAACCTTTACCTTAACTTTTGAACCATTAGTACTAGTCTAGGGCTTTCATATTTCACAGATGAATCCCTTGTGACACCCTATGGATACCAACAATTTGACCTTCTCACTTTGACCTTAGAGTTTGAAGCACTTAAAAAGACTTCAATCTCCACCATTATTTTTGAACTATTAGAACAAGGGCTTTAATATTTCACAGGTGTATTTTTTGTGAGAAGACCAACAATTTTGACCTTTTGACCTTACCTTTGAGTCTGACCTGTGTTTGAGAAATTTTAATCAACAATCACCATAAGCTGGCAGATGGGGGCATCAGTGTTTCACAAACACATCTTGTTTTTTATGTCCTGTCAATCCTTAAAGTCGAGGCATCTAATGATGACAAAGTAAACAAGAGGCCAATGGGCCACATCGCTCACTTGAGTAACTTAGGTGATGCAGTTCTTTACCAGATTCCCCCTCTTGCTATACCTATCATGCCCCACTACCCCCTTCCCTTTTATGATTTTAAAATTTTAGAATCTACACTACCTCAGGATGTTTCCATATAAGTTTCAGCTTTCCTGGCCCAGTGGTTCTTGAGAAGAAGATTTTTAAAGATTTGTTCTATATATTTCTATGTAAAACTTGGATTCCCTATTGTGGCCCCGCCCTACCCCCGGGGGTCATGATTTTAACAATTTAATATCTACACTACCCAAGGATGCTTCCACATAAGTTTCAGCTTTCCTGGCCCAGTGGTTCTTGAGAAGAAGATTTTTAAAGATTTGTTCTATATATTTCTATGTAAAATTTGGGTTCCCTATTGTGGCCCTGCCATACCCCCGGGGGTCATGATTTTTATAATTTAATATCTACACTGCCCAAGGATGCTTCCACATAAGTTTCAGCTTTCCTGGCCCAGAGGTTCTTGAGAAGAAGATTTTTTTAGTGACCCCACCCTATTTTTGTCTTTTCTTGATTATCTCCCCTTGTAAGAGGACTTGGCCCTTCATTTTTATAATTTAAATTCCCCTTAACCCAAGGATGTTTTGTACCAAGTTTGGTTAAAATTGGCCCATTAGTTCTTGAGAAGAAGTCGAAAATGTGAAAAGTTTACAAACGGACGGACGGACGACGGACAAAATGTGATCAGAAAAGCTCACTTGAGCCTTCGGCTCAGGTGAGCTAATAACTGATGGAGATAGAACTTTAATAGTTATGTTTTTCACATATCTAAATATGATTCATGTTTGAACAATAGGTTAAGTATTCAAACACATGTAAAATCATTAGACAGTCAATGTACTTGATAATTATAATATTTATCATACATTTTACTAAAATAAAAAATTGGATTTGGGTTTACATATAGGACAACTCCCTTATGGTTATGCTAATTTGTATGTCAAAATCCTTTTTCTATGACATTTAAATGGAAAGGAAACGAGATTTGTTTGTGAAACATTGATGCCCCCGTATGGCAACATAGCGAAGGTTAACCTTTCTCAAATGCAGATATAGGTTGGTACCTAAAGTAAGGCCTTTTCACAAGACCTAAATCAAAAGTTAAGGGCAAGGTTAAAGTTTTTGTGGACAGACAGACAGACAGAGAGACACACAGACGGACGAAAAAAAAAACAAACCAAAAACTATATACCCTCGAAACTTCATTTAAGGGGGCATAAAAAGCAATGATTTTGGTTTTTTGTTTTGGGGGGAAAATATATAATGGACATAAATGATAACATAGGAAATTGTCATACTATATGGTTTAAAACATGCTAGAAGCAACTCCACAATTGTTCTTTTAAGAGCATGTAGTGGCAACTAAATAATCTATGTAATTTTCTACCCATGGATTGTACAGAAATTGTGGATTATAACCTAGCTCATGGAAAACAGTATTTTGCAGTAAATAGATCTGCATCATTTGTACAATAACAATGCTCTGCAAAACGCGTATGTCTTGAAAACTTGCTTAAGGGGATGAAGGACCTTTCGCTGAAAAAATACCTGTCATTCAATTTTTTTCAAATTTTGTATATCTCTTATTTAGTATGTCCCACATACCTTAAAGCAGATATATCAATAGGTTTCTAGATTTATTTCTGAGATATTGAGTGACAAATACTATGCCCCACAGTGTCTGAGTGAAGTTTTGATTCTCCGTATTTCTGGGCCCATTACTCGGTCCATTATGGATTTTTTTCAGCATAGATAAAAAATATGTCAGCGAACATGCGTCTTTTAAAATATTTCAGAGTATGAATAGGGTTAAAAATTCGAAAAAACAATATTCTTTTGTCACACCGCATCTGGAGACGGAAAATTACGTTCTTTTTAAGACAACTTAAACGACAACAAAAATTAATTTACAAAAAATCCTATCATTCAATATTTGAAAAATTACAACGAAATGCAAGTTCATCATGTTATTGATTAACTGCAAAAATATCGATTGGTGAAGCTGAGCTCAATATTGCACAGGGCATAGTTAAACAAGACATGAGCGTGAGAAAAACGTGTCATGTTAACATTTCTTGAGTACGGAAAAACCCTACTATGATGTCACACATTTGCGAAATAAGCTAAGTAAGTCATAACTACAATATATTTCCGTCAACAACCATGTAAAAATATTTTTTGTGTTCTTTAATTCATAAAATATCCCACCATGTACTGATCATGACCTGTTTTATGATATTATACTACCCGTGATTTACTTTGTATATAATCTTACTGTACTAAGATCCACTATGACGTCAGCGACTCGTTGGACGCGCAGTGTTGGGAAACAGAAGAGTGGATCAATATATTCCGTAATTTGAAAATATTTGCTAGAAAGTTTGAATTTTTAGATATTTTTATACAAGATGGTGAACTCAAACAAACAGTCATTTTCTTTTCCAAATACTGTGGTTTCAATCTGGTTTTGTACATATTTTATAAGAGATTATGACGTAATTTAACTGAGTCACGTGACCATACATCCTTCGTCCCCTTAATACAACCAATAGGAGCAGTCCCTAACTATATACTGTAGATTGGCAAATAATCACGATGGTTTTAATTTTTCCATGAAATTAAACCCATCATGAATGCTATTACCCTTGGTATTAGTTTTTAAAAACGTTTAAATGCTTATAGAAAATTTGAATTAATTTCTTGCAGCGTGAAATTAAAACCATTTCAATTGGTACTTTTTGGGATATTGTGAAATTTAAACACCATGGAATTAAAACGACTTGCAGTATCTAACACATCTATGATCGTCTGAATGACCACACTGTAGCATTTCAGTGTCTACAATTCTAAGATAATTGCAAGTAACTGGGAGCTGGTAAGACAGTATAACAAACTTATATTTACTCTAAGTTATAAGCTTAACTATGGAAACCTATATACCTTGGCTAGTTATGTTCCAGGACAGACTTTTCAATTCTCTTTTGACAAGACCAGAGTCCCAACCCATGCAGTCACTAACGTCAACAACAGGAAACTCTATTTGATTGGTGGATGAAAAGGATTTCCCACCTTTCTTGGCCTTTGCTATGGCAACAGCTACAGGAGGACACTGTGTACAACAAATATGAATATCAATATATTAAAAATTTGCAATGTTTATTTTCAAGAAAAAATCATAAATTCCAAATTGCAAAAGGGTCAAACCTTGAAACCTCACTCTTGAACTTATATATATATTAAAAAAAAGTTTTGAATACTTTAGAGAAACCCCATCGTCGCAAACCACGGCCAAAATGTACGCTCCTCTCCCATCTGGCCGTGGTTGAACGAGGAGAGAATTCTTTGTAGCTCATTAAAATATTGACCAATGCGAGTAAAGCATGCAGTAGTCGGAAGATGAACTTTATCGCGACCTTTCAACATCCAATCGCAGTATAGGAAATATTTCTTGTATACTGTTGACGTCAGTTGTTGATTTTGATTGCGATGGAAACAAAACTTGCCACTGACTGAATATGAAGTCACAATAGAGAGGCGTAAATATTCAAGATTACGACACTTTTTGTGATCAAGCAGCCACGGGTAGGAGAGAGCTATATATATGCGGACTCCAGACTGTGGCTTGAGACGATGGAGAAACCCTGACCTTTTTAGACACAGCTTGAAGTTGAGCTGGTCCACCATAACACTGGACTTTACAAGTGGCATACACATTAACCAAATTCTCCACCCATCTTAGAGGATGGAGCTCTAGGTAACAGAGCAAGGTTAATATACCTAAAAATAAATTTTAAAACAATGGACATTGAACAATTCCTATTCTCAATATAAACAGTCTCCATACCACTACAAAAAAACTTTCAATTTCACAAATTGAGATTTTTTTTATTGTTAGTCATATTGGTCAATAGACAAAAAAGCTTTAAATGATTACGTTTGCTTTTACATAATATTATATTATAATTAAAGGACTGTTGGTCAGAGACGAGAAGAGCTCATTTGAAAGTAAAATGTTTATGTCTATATTGCCCTTTTTTCTAAGAATGGGTAGTATCAACATTTCAGAAACATAGGTACATGTAATCAGAGATTATAGAGCTCACCTCAACGAATGTTGTCTTTAAGTAAGGCAAATTAAGTCACACAATTATTAACCAACAAAAAGTGTACATCCAAAAATGCAAAATTTATGCAATTTTGATACTTTGGAATAGACCTATATAAAAACTTAAAACTAGTTCTTCATCATGAAAATGTAATTAAAATCCAGCATCTGAAGCAAGATTGAGAGTTTTCATCCCTTGATGCATCATTTGTGCAATTTTGGTTTATATAAGCCTTATAGTTTCTTGGTGATAGACCTGCACCCATAACTTTTACGAGGTCTATTATCTGGAAAATGTATGTCGAATTCAGCATCTGAAGCAAGTCCATTAGTGTGCATCCTAAGATGTATCATCCATGCAAGTTTGTTCAACATAGAGCTCAAAGTTACTTGGAAATGAAACCTGCATAAAAAACTAACCTTTTCACTAATCCGGAAAATGTAGGTCAGATTCAGCTTCTGAATCCAGCCTAGTAGAATGCACCCTTAGATGTACCATCCATGCAAGTTTGGTCATTATAGGGCTCAAAGTTACTTGGAAATGAATCCTGCACCATAAATTTTAACCTGTTTACTCGTCCAGAAAATGTAGGTCAGATTCAGCATCCGAAGCAAGTCTGGTAGTATGCATCCTAAGATGTACCATCCATGCAAGTTTAGTCATTTTAGGGTTCATAGTACCTTGGAAATGAAACCTGCACCAAAATTTTTAACCTGTTCACTCAACCGGAAAATGTAGGTCAGATTCAGCATCTGAAGCAAGACTTGTAATATGCATCCTAAGATGTACCATCCATGCAAGTTTGGTCATTATATGTCTCATAGAAACTTGGAAATGAAACTTGCACCAAAAACTTTAACCTGTTCACTCAACCGGAAAATATAGGTCAGATTCAGCATCCGAAGCAAGTGTAGAATGCATCCAAGATGTAATCCATGTAAGTTTGGTCAACATAGGGCTTATAGTTACAAATGAGACCTACACCAAAAACTGCACCAAAAATGTTAACCTGCTCCAAAAACATAAACCTGGTCACTCCTTTGCTGAAATGGCAGCATCTGAAACTTTGACTGGTACAATGAAACACACTAGAAACATCTTCCATGCATGTCTAATCAATATAGGACATAGAAAAATTTAAAAAGAAAACTGCTCCAAAAAACTTAACCTTAACCCGGGATGCCGACGCCGAGGGTATCACATAAGCTCCCCCCAACTTCGTTGAGGTGAGCTAAAAAGGAATCATACCTTCTTCTTTAACATCCATATTCATTACCAACGAATCTATGACAACAGCTCTTTCATGTCCGCGGCAAACTCTGTCTTTGCCTTGTCTTTCTTTTATCTTAATGGCATTCTGCATTAATACAAAATATAAAAGACAAGCAAGATGTATTCTTTATCCTTAAACATAGGTCAAGACAAGTGAGCATGGTGGTATGGGTCAAATTTTTTAAAAGAACCCAGTAATAAGATTTTCATGTACAATTTTATGTACATTACATGTATATATGTATATTAATGTTGTTTTTCCATTAAACAAATCTTCCTGTTGTGCTTATATGTTCATTTACTTTTAACGAAAACTAAAATTTTGATCCCCAATGTGGTTCTTCTATGATAACATCTATAACTCCAGGGAAAATAGCTGATGAACGATATGATATCATTTCATGGATGTCCTAAATTGGAATGATTGATGCTACATCCTCCGGAGTGGCTGAATAACATTCTGATACACTCATAATGATTCCGCAATTTCATCAAGATGGAACAATTGCAATAACATATTGTGCTTTAATTATCATAAGATTGTGTCTTTAGCTATCTGATAATTATCCCAAGGCATTGAAGTTAAGAGGGGATACAATTTGCTCATGTGTCTGGGGGTTAAAATTTCCTTAATAATTTGCATGGGGATCAATCAACATTGCCTTGTTTCTTTTGCAATGACATACTCTGCTTTGCGATGTCCTTTTTAAGTACATTTTTGTCTCTTTATAGGTAGTTTAAAGTCCCTTGGAGGATTTTTGGCTTAATATTTAGATCTTCCACTTTATGGTAGAAGGCTGCAAATTTTAATCAGTATTAGACATTAAGTGGCAGTACACCTTTGAGGAGTAAGGGATCTTTTCCATGCAAGCACTGACTGTGAGAAAATGGGACCTAGGCCTTGACATCACATATACTTGCCACATCAGGATCAACTCCTCATTTATTAACTCTAGATCAGTTAAACGCTCTATCCATTGCTCACCATTTGGGTGATGTTTAAGTGCAGATTACTTCTTTTGAAATACTGTAAACATTCTTTTTTTCATGAGGACATAATTCCACGGAATCTCTATTTCTATTCAATCCACTGGTAGAAAATTATGCAGATATCTTAAGACTCTCATTATATGCCTTATATTTGTATTAAGTTCCATGGGACAAATTTCCATGCAAAAGTTGATACAGCCTACATAGTGTAAATTTCAACATATTAACTGTATCATCTAAGTTTAAGACTTGCAGGAGTAAAGTACAAGTTCATTCAACTTTGCGCAACCTAGATACTTTGTTTGGACTATAACAAGTTCACTGACCACAGTAATTTCTATTTCTTCAATCACAGAATTCAGCTAAGCTTGTACGTATAAGTCAAGCTAAGATTATTGGTCCTTCCAATTAGTTTCAAACAGAAGTTAATGATTTACCTCATGGCAGTCCTGCTGCATCTCATGAACTTTCTTGCAGTGGCAAGGTATGAAGACATGATTGACAAACTTTTTCAGTGTCCTATAGTCCACTGTATTGGCGTAACTATGTCTCTTCAACTCTGCCAAGTCTTGACCCTGTGTTTAAAATACAATTGAAATAACTTAAATAATGAAGGATATTCAATAATTATATTATGTTATTAGATGATATGCAGGTGACGTATTACATTATTATACTTTCATGTTAAATAAAAATCTGATTGGCGTAGATGTGTTTAAAAATCTGTAATGTTACCCTTAGCTTTAGTAACACATTTGACGATGGGTAAAATTGCCAAAATGTGAGCAAATCATTCACCACGGTTCATCATAGAATTCTCAAAATGTCTGTTGTGTATTTGAAAGAAACTGAATAAAACTTCACATCATTTTAAAAATCTTGCATCTGATGTAGCTTACTTGAAAACAAACCCCATACATACATGCCAACTTTTGAAAATTCCCATGGGGGATTTAGCGCGTGACGACAATTTTCAAAGGTCTAAATTCGCGACATTTTGTCGTGAAATTACCGGTAAATGATAATGAAATGATTTTTTTTTTTTTAAATTTATAATATTTGATATCACTTATTAATACAACTAAAGGATTAATTTAACACAAAAAATTGATTTAAAAAAATTTTTTTAAATGTTTTTTTTTTCCAAAATTGAAATATTTATGCTAAAATAAGTGCCTCTCTCATTAAAAACATGATTTTTTTCTACCAGGACACATAATTTAGTGAAAATTTGAAAATTGTACTTTTAAATCATTTTTTTCAAAGGTTAAAAAATATATGAGGCTTTGATACTGTAAAGTCCTGTTTCTGGAAACATTTTTGAGATTTTTTATTTATATTTCAATTAATTAGAATTTCTAATAAGGTATTAAATTTATTGAAATTTATACCACCTATCCAGAGGAGAATTATTTTTTTTACAGTCATGAAATTTGTCAGGCTTGATGATGCCATGTGGGTCATGCACATACCTAAACATGCTAAAAAATATTACTTTTGGGAGAAGGAAGGGAAAAGAAATTCTAATTGACATACACTTGATTGTTTCATCTTAATTTCATAATATTTTAACTGGCAAACTTTAAAATATTTTTATTATAGGTAGATAAAATCAGCAGCTATGCTTTGTAGTTTTCTACTTTCGTTTTCAAAAAACGATCTCTTTGGATTCCGATTTTATAGTTTGATTAGTATTTCATTGTCTTTAATTTATGTTTTTAATAAAATGACTAACAATTAACACGTTAATCTATGTGTTTCACCTTGCATACCCCTTAAAACTGACAAGATAATCCCCTAATTGCCCCAAGCTATAAGCTACCATAATTTTCGGGTTATAGGTCGATACTTTTTTTCTCAGAACCGCTGGGGTCGCCCAATATATGAATTCGACCTTTCTAAGGCTCAAGTTTACGAAAAATGCCCCAAAATCAATAAAATTACGGTATTTGTACCTGGACAACTGCGTGCGTTCAAGCGTGAAGTGATTTCCTGTGGCTAATTAACATTGCTAAATAAACAATGAAACTTATCTGAGTGCATTGAATAAACAAGTTTGACACTGTTATCCCCATTGTCAAAATTCAGTGGTAGGGAATCTTTTATAATCGGAAATTTTGGTGATTTTTTCAAATCGTGAAATTAGGGCAATTTTTCTTTCCCGATCGGGAAGGCGGGATGAAAGGGTAAAATCAGGAGGATCCCGCCTAAATCGGGTAAGTTGGCATGTATGCCCATACAAAACATGAAATAACGAAACTTTAGATGATAATGGACATTCTGAGTATCAAACAAATAATCAAGGGGTTGGTAAATATTTTTTGAAGCTTTCTTATTGAGAAAAAGAGAAATAGAGAGTTTGAAAGCTTTTTAAACATAAAGAACTTCACTCAGATGACAAGCCCTTCACCAGCATAAGGTGACGTCTCTATATGAGTGAAATATTCTCTAATGGGACGTAAAACAATATACAATCAATCAACCAATCCATTTATGACTAGGTCAGAGTATCATAAGTACAAACATTTGCTGATTCAATTATTTTTTAAAATCAAATAGTGGAAGATCAAGTGTGTTTGTGTGCTGCTGGTGTGTTGTAGGGGAAACAGGTTATATAAAAGGTGAACTTTTATTAAGAAAAATCTTAATGAAATAAAAATTTTGAAACCAAATTTACAACAAATTTATTCATTAATACTCAAAATTATTAAACCGTTGGAAAAACACATGTACTGGCTTTTCCCCCAAAGATCACGCAAATTCATATTTAAGTGCAAAAAACACTAGTGATGTCATAGACCCATTTATATTTACAAGGATGTATCAATGACTTAACATCAGTTACTGTATCTTCTAATGAGTGATTATACATGTATTGACCTTAAATTGACTGGTTATTGAACTCTAGAGGTTACATTTGTCAATCCTAGGGAACAAACAAGAAAACCCTGAATGAAGCTCATAACAATCTTACATTGAGACATTATCAATAAATTGTCTGAAAAAATAGAAGCTTACAAATCCAGTGTGCGACAAAAGGACTAGCCCGATGCCCGAACACTAGTAAAAATTCAATCGGGCTAGTAGAATGTAGGTCAGCACTAGCCCAATCGGTCTAGTGAAAAGTTGCATGCATTTTACATTTATTTGTTGATAAATCTTTAAAAGTAATAAAATAAGTATAAGAATTCTGATTGTTTCCTTTCGTTTTACATGTGCGTGGGTTTCTTTTGTTTAAGCATGTCGAGAACTTTCCGCAATCGGTTTTTCTCTGTACACTTTGGGTTTTTAAAATACACATCAGCATTTACTTCCGGTTATGGCTGGGTTATGTCTATAAATATGAATTTCGACTGATTTAAGCGAGACAACAAATTCATATTGTAAAGTATGTGGGCTAGCAAAATCTGATTCGGGCTAGTAATTGTTCTTCATTACTGGCCATATTGGGCTAGTGCTGAAAAAAGTTTTTCGCGCACACTGCAAATCACTTTCCAAGACATTTCCTTTTTTAAAATTATTATTCTTCATTTAAAAGACAACAGATTGGGCAGCATGACAAAATGGTTTTTGGAGTACATGTAGCAATTTTCAAATTAGTAAATATTAAGCTTACTATTCCAATCTAAGAAGTAAAAGGAAAAGTTTATTTTTTTTAAATAAATACATGGAATTGGAAGTGTCTATTTGTGTACCAAATTTTTTTTTATCAGAAAAAAAATCAAAAGTAAATGTCAGTCAGAGGAAAGCATCTCAACTGCCGCCCTGCAGAACTGTAGTCCAGTGCATGGTCGGGAAAATTCGGACAGACAAATCAAAGAGCTACAACTAATTCCAAGTATTATAAAATCATATTTATGGTGCCATTTTTTTTCTAGCATGCTCTGGGTATTACCAAATTTTTGAAGTATTATATATCAATGGGGCATTTAGATCGAAAAGCTCATTTTTACTCTTAATTTCAAGAAATCCATAGATAGGTCAAGTTGGGAACATGGAACAAGGCATTATTTATCGATTATCTAGAGACTTTTACATAGATGATACGGAAAAAAACTTCTTAGCTAACCGCATGATATTTTGGCACTGAGAAAATAAATTGGTATTTTTTATGAGTAAAACATCTTGAAAGGGTTTTATATGAACAAATGTTTCTTTTGTTGAAACTTACTTGAATTGTGATACAGTTCTACCAATCAATACCCCAGAACAAAGAATAAATATTTCAGAACATCACTGACACATTCTTTAGTTAATATATTTTATTTAGACATGATGAACAATATGATAACATTTGCAATTATTAAACAGCTGTCATGATAATCTTCACAGTTTTGTATGTTCAATGATGAGTTGCACTAATAGCCCCTATAGATAGTTTTCAGTAGACCCACATAAACAAGAGTTATTTCCTTTGGCCACCATCTTGTTGGTCAATATGGTAATTTTTCCTCTTTGTCCTAACCAAATATTAAAGGGTGTAGCAGAAATATTGGGGGCCCGGAGGGGATCTTTGTGGAAAAATTATGAAATAAAAGAGGCTCTAACAAATGTATACTTTTAAGAAAAACAATTAATGCTTACCACCCCACAATTGCCAGCATAAAAAGTTAAAGTTGGTTGAATAATGAAGGAATATAATCATGTTTACCCCCAATATGGCGGCCAATGGGAAATAACTCTTGTTAACTTGGGTCTACTGAAAACTATCTATAGCAGCACGTGGATCTTGTAATCATGCCCAGCGGATGGTTAAACTCTTACAGGGGTCAAAACCTTTTTGTATATGATGGGTGATCTAAAATTTCGGTGATCAAAAAGTTTGCAAACTAATTGAATAACATCAATCTAAGAAACTAGAACTGTCCAAACGGGAAAAAAAATACCCCCCGCTGGGATTTTCAGAAGTAAGTTTTTCCATAAGAAAGATGTGGACCGGACACAAATTATGAAATTTTTCTTCCAGTGACCTTAAACTTCCCCAAATGACCTTGGGTCAAGGTCATGACACAACCTTGGGCTATGGGCAATCTTTGTGTGAAATGAAAGAACAAGAGGCCCAAGGGCCTTGAATCGCTCTTCTGATAAATTATACAATCTATCCTAAGATCCAATATGCATCAACTGACAAAGTTTGATGATTCTTAGCTAGTAAGGGCTGAGGATATTTGAGTTTAACTATAAAATACTAAAAGTAGGTCATGGTGACCTACTTTTTGATTGAAATTTTCTGAGGACACAAGATGCATTAATTGACAAAGATTGATGATTCTAAGCCAATAAGTACTTGAGATATTCAAAAGTGGGTCACAGTGACCTACTTATTGGTCAAAATTCTCCGAAAACCCAAGGTGCATAAACTGACAAAGTTTGAAAATTCTAAGCCAATAAGTACCCTAGAATACTTAAATATAGCCATAAATGTCACAAGTAGGTCACAGTGACCTATATTTTGATCATCATTCTCCGAGAACCCAAGATGCATCATTAACAAAGTTTGATGATTTTAAACCAATAAGTACCCGAAATACCTCAATATAGCCATAAAATGACAAAAGTAGGTCACTGTGACCTA